CTTTCAAAACTCCTGTTTAACACTCTACTGGTCACCCTCGTTAATACAACACGATTTTTTAAAAGGAAATAAACTTATATGGATTGTGAAGCTATAATTAAAACTATCATTGTTTGCAGATGACATAATAGTCTATGTAGAAAATCCCAAAGAATTGACAAAAACTCCTTAAATCATTAAACAATTAGTGTGAGATCGCAAGTATACCAGATTAATCTTGAAAAATCAATTGCTTTCTCGTGTGTCTGCTATAACAATTGGACTTTAAAGTGAGAAACCATAACACTTATAATAGTGCATAAAAAGGAAGTACCTAGGGCCCTGCTGGTGGTGCAGTGGTTAGAGCACTAGCCCACACATGGAAGGGGCTCAGGTTTGATTCCTGGTCAAGGGCACCTATGTACCTGGGTTGCAGGTTCAATCCCAGGCCCTGTTTGGGCCATGTGAGGGAGTCAATCAATCCATGTATCTCTCTCACACTGACATTTCTCTCCCTCTCTCTCTCTCTCTCTCTCCCCCTCTCTCTCTCTCCCCTTCCCTCCCTTATTTTCACTCTTTCTAAAAAAAAAAAAAAGAGGGGAAAAAAAAGAAAAAAAAATCAATGGGAAAAATATCCTCTGTCAGTATCTGTCTTTTTAAGCGTTGCTCAAAAAATATCATTATTTTCATCGTTACTAACAAAACTCAAGTCAAAGCTGGACACAAAGGCACTCAGGCTTGTTCGGCTTCCAGGGGGCTGCCTCAACGGGAACCACATAGAATCCAGAGGCAGGCCTCGCCCCCACCTGTCCACAGCACACCTGTGAGCACCAGCCCTGTGGGCTGCGAGGGGCCCCGAGGGTAACCCGCCGTCCTCTGTTCCGATTCCAATGGATTTCTACTGTCGCCTGCTATGTGGCAGCTCTATTCCTGACGCTGGGGGCCCAATGCCTGAAGACGTGTGGTTTGTCTGGCTGTCCGCCAGCTCAGGAAGACGAAAGGACACAGGCCATGTCCCCAAATGCTGAGACTCTGTCACAGAAGGCACAGAAGGCACGGGGGGAGGGGTGGGAGGGGGGGGACACAGACAGTGGTAACCAGCTCTGACCACACAGGAGGCAAACTTCCCAGGGAACAGCTTACACAACACGGTATCGGCTTTCTCCCTGGCGCTGACCCCCATGGACCGGGGTAACGGAGCCAGGCACACAGAACACAGCTTACTTGGTTGTCGGGAAAAGCCGCAGACACCCCCAGGGAAGGAAGGGCAACATACTTTGCGAGGCCGGATGCTCCCGCTCCTGGGGATGGGGCTCTGGCCCCATGACGGGCTCCAGAGCCAGGGCAGAGCCCTCCCCTGGAAAGTCCCCGGAGTCCTTCTCTGGGGCTTGGGGCATTTGTGCTGGCTAACATGGAGCCAGAAAAAATAAAATCAATAAAACAAATAAATCAATACATAAAATGGAGCCAGAAAAAAATAAAAAATAAATAAATAAAATGGAGCCAGTACGAGCCTTTCTGTGGTCTAAATCACATGTGTCAAACACAAGGCCCGCGGGCCAAATCCGTCCCGCCAGGCCTTGCAATGTGGCCCGCACCGCGCTGTCATCACTGCACTCCGCTGCGTTTCCATCACAAAGACAGTTTATGACTGTTCAGTAAACCATTCGGTCCGCGATTTAGGCTGGATTTTAGATTTTGGCCCCTTCTCTGATTGAGTTCGACACCCCTCTAAATGGTGGACGAAATGGCAAAGAAAAGAAGGGGGTGAGGGAGAACAGGGCTGAGCAGAGGGAAGGAGGGTGGCAAAAATCCTGGACGCCGGCCTTGCAAGATAAAGTCAGCAACTACCAGGCTATCGAAGCTTCCATGGACTCACAGAACACCTGAAAGCATGGCTTTTTGTTTTTTCTTAACGTTTTTATCCTCTTGGCATCTCCCTGTGAGAGGGCTGTGTCCCGGCTCAGGCATCAGCCGTCTGTCACACTGTGTGGCTTCCTGACCTCGGGGAGCTGGTGCTTCAGCTCAGGGAGCCCGTGGGGAGGATGAGCGGAGCCCACGTGTGCAGTGCCTGTGAAACAGTCTCTTTACGGGCATGTGGGGTTTCCTGCATTTGGACAAGGCAGCAAGAGGTGCTGATTATTCCACGGCCCTCATCCTCCACTTCCTTTGGGGGTGGGGGTCTGGATTCCTGCTGGGTCTACACAGTCCATGTAACCCCTGGCTCACAGTGAGATCAGGCATATTGCCAGCAAGGCTCAACTTAAAGTGAACCATGATCGTACATCAATAGTTTTTGCAACATATACTCCCATTTGTCATGTCACATCCTTCTTTTTTTTTTAATATATATTTTATTGATTTTTTACAGAGAGGAAGAGAGAGGGATAGAGAGTTAGAAACATCGATGAGAGAGAGTCATCGATCAGCTGCCTCCTGCACATCCCCCACCGGGGATGTGCCCGCAACCAAGGTACATGTCCTCGACCGGAATTGAACCTGGGACCTTTCAGTCCACAGACCGACGCTCTATCTACTGAGCCAAACCGGTTTGGGCATCTCATATCCTTCGTATGTGAACCCTGTGAGCTGGACACAGCAAGAGGGAGTGTCCCAATGGTGGATGCTTGGTTTGCTGGAGATCACACAGACCCATCGTGCTCCTGGCAGGTGGTGGCTGTTTCCACACGATGCATCAGGTCTCTGTGATGACATCTCCCTGGTTCTCTATCCTGGGCACCACTTCATCTCTAAGTTGGGCCCATCAACAAGGGTCCACCGATTGTGTGCCAGCAAGGCTATTCTCTCTCCCATCTCCTTGTTTTCTTCTTGTTCTCTTTAATTCTGACCCCTGACTTCCTTCCTCGTTGGCAGCCCTGTCCCTGTTGTGGTAGCTCAGGCTGTGGACCTCCAATGAGCTGTGTGCAGCTCCAGACACAGCTGTGCATGCTTAGAATACAGTGATCCATGTAACACCGCTGGGGCCGTAGGAGGATCTGTGGCCAGCATGGTGCAATGGGGAGGATGGCTCTCAGGATGCTGCTGCCTCCTGCTGGTTAAACTAGATCTAAACCTGTTGCTTCATTTTAGTCTGTCCCATCTTTCCCACTCTCCCTTTCCCCCCATTTATCGAAGAAGGCTCATTTATAGAATGGTCTATTTTACATGTCACCTTTACCCATTATATTAAACTTGCATATGTATTAAAGTATATTTATTGTCTTCCTATATGATTTTACTGCTCTGTTCATTTATTCACAACACTGCTTTAAATATTATAGACTTACAATACTTTTAAAAAAAATATCTGGTAGGTATGGCTTCCCTTCCTTACTCATCTTTTTCAGAATTTCCACAAGTACTCTTGCTCTTTGTTTTTCTACTTGACTCTTAGAACACAAAAAAAAATTGTGTTGGTGTTTTAGTTGAAATTACACTAAATTTCAAGATTAACTGAGGAAATTTTTTATAACTTTAGGATTCTGTCTTCTTAGTCAAAATGTCTTTCTGTTTGTTCAAACCCTTGGGTCCTTAGATGTCTGCTTACCTATCAGGCTGGATTCTGAGGTTTATTCCTAGCTATTTGGTTTTGTTATGTGGTTATGGTAAATGGGATATTACATCTTCTAACTGGTTGTTATTTGTAGATGTGATCCAAATAGGTTCAATTTTAAAATTAAAAACAAAACAAAACAGCATTCCTCATGTGCATGCTGGGAGCTGAGAACATGACCAGCCTGAGACCCCTGTGGGAGGTGGGGGGAATACGCAGCCATTACTCTCAAGCTGGCCTCTTTGTAAAGAAACCGGGTGTTGGTAACACACAGCTGAGTTTGGGGAAATCACACAAACTTTTCCCTCACCCCCAGATTTCTGTGACCAACGCAGACAGCCAAATGCAATAGTCCCGATTGGGGGCATCTGAAACTGTGAGATAGATAGCAATCTCAACGAAGTATGCTGTGAAATGTAGATTATAGTTATGGAAGAGTGAAAATTCACGTAATTGCATCAAAATGCAAAGGGAAACAAAGTAAGACAGAGCAACATCTTGAGGGGAAATTCCCACAGCCAGATGAAGCCAATGGTCCCCCTATGTGGAGCAGGGCTCCGTTCCAGGCGAGCCCCATGAATATATCTTACATGGACACCAAGCTCCCATCCAAAGCCCATCTCAAATTACTGTTTTCCCTCCAGTGAGCCATTTCCCCCCACCGCGGGAGATATTAGTGTGTTCTTGGCTAGGTTAATAATGACACAAATTTCAACAAGTCTTTCTTTGTTTTTAGAAGGCTATCTTCTTAAGCATTTTTTTTTTTTTTTTTTTTTTTTTTTTTTTTTTAGGTAAATGGCAACAAAGGAAACAGTTCCTACAGCCATTAAACCTTAAGTGGTTTAAGATTGATTGTATGGCTCTGACCCTTCTTTGCTCACTGGACAGGCCCCGGCAGGGAGCCAGGACAGCTGGGTCGAGTTCCTATTCTCTCATTTGCTAGGTATGTGACCTCCAGCAAATCTAACCTTTGGTCCAGTTTCTCCATGGGAAAATGAGGATGGCATCACTTTCTTAACCTATGTCAGCATGTAAAAAGCTTTCGTTGAAATAGGAGATGTGATAACCGTTTGAAAAAGTAGTTTAATATGAAGATAAAGCAGGGTTCGTTTTTCATCTGGAACTTTTGTTAAAAAGTATGTTTTTATAAGCTTCAGAGAGAGGAAAAGAGAGAGGTAGAAACATCAATGATGAGACAGAAATCATTGATTGGCTGCCTCCTGCATGCCTCCTACTGGGACTGAGCTCGCAACCCAGGCATGTGCCTTGAGTAGGAATCTACTGTGATCTTCTGGTTCATAGGTCAATCCTCAACCACTGAGCCATGCCGACCAGGCTGTATTTCCTCTTTTACCAATGACTAGTTCACATCCTTTGCCCACTTTTTCATCCACATGAAGGAAATTACTTTGTTTTGTAAAAGTTTCCATCAAAGCAACAATGAAACACTCACCGAAGTCCATTTTATTGGATTGATTTAAGTATTTTATTTAAAGAAAGATTTAAAAGAAAGATTCTGAAGAGTTTATTGATAGGAAAAAATATAAAGCATACATTTTTAAAGATCGTTTTATACTGACATTATAGAAACAGACTTCTCCAACTAACATGATTGGTAGTGTGCTACTAGTGAATGCATTCTACAGAAACATGGCTTTACCTTCAAATCTGAGTGTATTGCCCTTACATAAAAAGAGGATAATAAAAAAACACAACTTTAATAAGTTTAATATTTAGTAGACCACATCTAATTTGTTGAAGAGGAAGTTCTTTTATTTACTTCTTCATCAAGGCCAGGCTTATTTTTTTCACCTCTTCCTCTGCATCTTTATCCTATCAAGAAAGCACAAACACGCAATGAAAACTCACACATTCCTCCTGATACTCAAGGTACTTGGAGGTAGAGCTCCACTGGGTGAGGGGAGACTTTTCTGAATGACCGTTACAATAAAAATGTGGATTTCTGAGGACCAGGCATGTCCCAGATCTCTGAGAACATGAGCACCATGGAGAACTACGTCTCCACCAGGTGTGGAGGGGCAGCAAACAAGGAGGAGAGTGTATTAATGATAACACTGTTTTCTTCTTCAATTATCAGTCCTAGCCCTAGCAGCAGGGTCTGAAGAAATCTGAGATTCCACTGTAAGACCCACATAGGCAAATACACATTTCATTACTGACATTCTCAGGGACTTTATAGGTACAATTAAAAATCATACATGTTTGCCCAGCCGATGTGACTCAGTGGTGAGTGTTGCCCTGTGACCCAGGAGGTCACGATTTGATTCCCAGTTAGGGCACATGCCTGGGTTGTGGGCTCAATCCCCAGTAGAAGGTGTAAAGGAGGCAGCTGATCAATGGTTCTCTCTCATCATTGATGTTTCTATCTCTCTCCCTCTCCCGTCCTCTCTGAAATCAATAAAGATATATATATATATTTTAAAATAATGTATGTTTATGATTTTTAATCTTATACTTTTAGTCATATGTTTTACAGGACTCCATATATACTATCATTTCTTTAAAACAAGTGTGTAAGTTAGAAACAGTGGCAATAAATTCAAGTGGTAGGATATCCTATTCATTTTTATATTTAACAAACATTAACCCAGCACCTATCAGAAAGAATTTAAGGAATGTGCCGAAACCAGTTTGGCTTAGTAGAGCGTTGGTCTGCCAACTGAAAGGTCCCAGGTTCAATTCCAGTCAAGGGCATGTATCATACCTTGGTTGTGGGCACATCCCCGGTAGGGGGTGTACAAGAGGCAGCTGGTCGATGTTTCTCTCTCATCGACGTTTCTAGCTCTCTATCTCTCTCCCTTCCTCTCTGTAAGAAAAATCAATAAAATATATATATATTTTTAAAGAATTTAAGGAATGTAATACATTTAAAATAAACATATGAGGAAAACTTGTCAACACAGATGTCTGAAGTAGCTGCTAGCTAGATTTTTTTTTAACGGAAAGTTCTTCAATAGCTTTAATTATAAACATTAATACACTGACTCAATTGTAGTGTCTGACCAACTAGAAGTTTACCTTCTATCGAAATATTTTGTGAAGGTTGTGGGAAAATATGATAACTAACCTAGGGTGTTAATGTATTATTTAAAAGAACTTATAAAAACACCATCATTTGTGTTTGTCTTTGTTGTCCTAGGGCAGCGGTCAGCAAACTGCAGCTCGCGAGCCACATGAGGCTCTTTGGCCCCTTGAGGGTGGCTCTTCCACAAAATACCATGGCCTGGGCCAGTCTATTTTGAAGTGGCCTTAGAAGAAGTTTAAAAAATTTGGCTCTCAAAATAAATTGCAGTCGTTGGACTGCTGATATTCGGCTCTGCTGACTAATGAGTTTGCCGACCACAGTCCTAGGGCTAGTTCAGTGCCTGGCACCTAGAAGCCCTAAATAAACGTCTGCTAAATTAGTGGTTAGGTGCTGGAACACAAGAACACTAGGAAACCAAGGCTAACCCTAACTCTGGGACACGCCTCCTGGTCTAAGGTGGGCAGCCTGTCCAGCTGTCTATCGCCCGCTCCCCAGAAGTATGCTGTCCCTGCTCTTTAGGGTGGGATTTGTCCCGTTACCGAACAAGCATCAGGATGTCTGAACTGCCAGCCCATGATTTGTGAGTCCCTTAAAGACACGAGGGGTCTCCTAGTGAAAGGCTACCTACAGCAAGCGTTAACGCTTTGTAGTTCACACTGAATCCAAGCTGAGAGATTCTATATGGAGCAGTGCTCCAGAGGTATGCCAGCCACTGTTGACATTTGAAGCTGGAGTAGGTCTGGTAAAATAATAGCGCTCTTTGGCGCCGTCTGGGCTCACCTCTCTGGTTATACAAGGAAGCTGCTTTGCCAAAGCACAGAACTTCCTGGCATTCTCTATTTGCTTAAGATCCCTGTAACACTGGAAAACAAGAGAAGAGCCAATGTTAAAGATAATCGCATTTTATGTAATGGATTCAAAGTGATCTTAAAACAGCTGCTTGCATTACCTTGGAAAGGTAGATGTAATTGGCCTTCGAAAAATCATGCTGTAGCTCTTCAACCTGATTTTAAGAGGAAACAGGAAAGAGAAAAACAGGGTTTTATTCAAGCAACAAAAACTACCGGAGGAGAGGACGTATTTCAATAAATCAAATATTAGCCAAATTGAAGCAAACTGCCCTAAGAACTTAGGTTGGGTGTGTCTCATCTGAATCCTTTTATTGGTTTCAGAGTGTCCTTTGGGTACAAAATAGCTTTTTAGCTTATCCATTACAGTGAAATTATCATCATGGTCATAAAGCTTACAAAGCAATGGGATCCTTTAAGGTTTGGGGGTTTCTTTGTATAACCATCTCCCCGCTTCTTCTGCTCTATCCTTTCTCTCTCTTTCTTTAGAGAACAAAATCACCGGTTGTGTACTCCCAAACAACTGAGCCACCGGCCAGGGCTCAGACCACTAACTCTTCCAGAAAGCCTTCTAGGCAGCCACTAGCCACTGTTCAGAAAGTGCAATGAAATCATCTAGTTCTCATTGTAGACTATATGATCTCTAATTCCCTCTCAGTTCTATAAGATTGATCCTTGAAGCACCCCTCCCCTCAAAAACAAAACAAAACAAAACAAAAAAAACCCCAGCAGGTACAATTTGTTGGACAATACAATTCAAAGCCTGATTTTGTTTGTACTGTTATAAATCTGAAATCATAGGTGGGGGGAAAATACCTTAGTACTAGAAGAATCTCTAATTAGTCCCAGACAAAGATGAGGGGATTAGCACAATGGGAAATTGGTTATATATGTGGGTATATTACACATTTACATGTGTGCACACACATAGTGCTGCTTAGAGTTCTATTCACGTAGCGATTATACATTTTCAGACACCAGTGGAAATACTGATTTGGCCTGATGCCCCAAGAATGTTTCTTAGACCTGTCTGCAACTTATGGAATGGCTTTTAAAATAACTCTTCCTTTTGGCATCTTTTGAGTCTTTAAGATTAAACTGTTGCCAAAACCGGTTTGGCTCAGTGGATAGAGCGTCGGCCTGCGGACTGAAAAGTGCCAGGTTCGATTCTAGTCAAGGGCATGTACCTTGGTTGCGGGCACATCCCCAGTAAGGGGTGTGCAAGAGGCAGCTGATCGATGATTCTCTCTCATCGATGTTTCTAACTCTCTATACCTCTCTCTTCCTCTCTGCAAAAAAAATCAATAAAATATATATTTTTTTAAAAGATTAAACTGTTGTCTACATTAGGCTAATCAGGAGTATTTGAGTCTAATATTGAGGGCATACATTCTTTTAAACATATTCCAGTGACCTGGAGAGTTGCCCTCGGACTTGGTAATAAGGGCCATTGTACCTGTGACCTAGGGCATAACCAGCTGCTGCTTGGATTAAAATATAACTCACAGTATGAGAGGCTTAAAACAGAACTAGGATTCACACTGTTAGAGGTCTACACGTGTAGACAAGAACAGTTTCCTTGACAAGGAAAGGTAGGAAAGGCTGACCCAGATAGAACCCAGTTTGATACTAAAATAATGGATAGATACAATATACAATACCTTAAGGAAATTTTGCAAAGCTTCTTGTATAGTTGAGGTTGGTACTGTTCCAAACAGAGTAGCAGCCATCTTTTTCTCAATCCAGCTCAGTTGTGAGACCTGTAAATACAGAGCAACATTACTCTTAGAAAGTGTTCGCCTTTTGAATGGATAACCTCTCCCCAATTAGAGGTTTGTGCATGTTTCTATGTATTTATATACATATAATATATGTAAATGCTTATCCATAAATAACATATGAGAGGCATCAGCTTTATGGTATTGATATTTTACTTCCTTTTTCATAGTTCAAAAAAACTCTGAACTCTGAAAGCATTGGCTACAAAACCAATTTGAAATACTTGTAAGAAGATTTTCACATTGGGGTGGGGATGAAGAATAATGTTAAATTAACTTTGTTTGTTCATCTGATTCATGACTCTCAGATGATGGCATGATGTTTCTCGGCATAGAGGTACCAGCTACAAGATCCTGCCTTTGCTTTCTTCCCACATCCTCCATGCTACCAACCTGACCCAGAGGGAAGCATCTCAGAAATGTAAACAGATGGACAATTCTCAACCCAGAGGGAATATAGAGTGAGGGCCCAATTTACATATTCACAAGCCAGGGGACATTTTTAAACCAATAACCATCAAAATTAACTACCATATTACCATTTATTTTTATTTTTTTTCTTTGAAAACTTTTTCATTTCCCCCAAATATGAATATTAGATCTTTATTATAAATAAATATATAAAATGTTAATATATCGATAAAACAAAAAATATAAATTATAAAATATATAAACTCAAAGTTTGTAATGTTTTTATCTATTTCCCTATAGTAAGCAATAGGTAAAACAATAAAAGAATGAATAAGTCACTGAAAATATATCACATAATCAGAATATACTCAAATAAGATTTATCGATATAGATAAAAATATTAAACTTACAGCATAACAGTATCTTCCATTGAGGTAATACAAAAGGGGTTCTTCAGGTAATAATTCAATTGCTTTATCTAGATGTTCCTGCAAGAAAATCCCAAAGAAATATCATCTCCTAAGGTTTCAAGGCAGATTCCTCCTCAATCCCTATCATTAACACAACTCATTATTATCAATAATTCATTACCAAACATGATTGCTCAGAACTAGAACCAGAACTGTGACTATGATTTAATAAGACTACAGATAACTTAAAGCCAAAATCCATATATATGAAAGGCTAACATGCAAAGTGTCTCCTTGGGAGTTCGACCAGGAGAATAGGATTTTGATGGTTTGCTATGGGGTGTGCTGACCACCAGGGAGTGACAGAGAACATGGCAGACAACTAGCAGCAGCAGCAGCAGCAGCAGCAGCAGCAGCAGCGATGGGGTGCTGAGGGAGCAAGGGAAGGAGGAGGCAGGTAGGCGGGGAGACAGGGGAACCTGATTGGCCCTGACCACCGGCCTAGGGATCCTACCTGTGCACTAATTTTGTGCACCGGGCCTCTAGTGTCACATTAAAAACAGAAAACACCCAGTCACATTATTGTCTGCCCCTGACTAGTGCTCGATTCAGAGGAAAGCTTATAAATATCAAATTGTGAGGGTACAATGGAGGAAAAAATAGCAGAACTGGATGGGATAGAAATCTACTCCACTGATATCATCAAATGGTTACAGAGGGTTGAAGAACAAAAAAACTCTCTGCCCATCACTATAATTATTGAAACTGAGGGGTTACTTATTGAGCTATGACAACTATAGGCACATTATACATAATGTGTATTACATTACTTATTTTATTCATCTACCATGGTCATTTTAAGGCAGAGATTGGATTCTACTCTAACTGCAAATCAGAAATGCAGAAAATGTTAACTAATTAGTCCAGTCATGTTTACAGTATTAGTGAGCTCATGGCCAACAGGCTAATTCTCTATCTTTGAATATACTCGTTTACTATGTGACTTCTTTCGGGATCTAGAATAATAAAATCTCTAATTACCTAAACAGTTTGATTCCTTTTGGCACAATCCTATTTGAAGAATGTCATTTCATTTTATTTAAATAAAAAGGATGACTTCCTAGAGGTTAATTTGTTGAATAATTCCATTTAGACATGTTAATATGGCTACATTAAAACATTTTTGCCCCGCCCTGGCCCAAAACATTTTTCATATCAAGAAATACCTTGAAGCAATATCCATAGTTGATTTTGTTTTGTAAGCCCTCAAACTCGGATACATAGCCACACAAAACTGCGTACCTGAAAAAAGTAAAAACAGTGGATGTTGTGTGAACTTTTATTCAAATACCACCAAATAAAACAGTTAAAAAATGTCTTTGGCCTAGCTGGTGTGGCTCAGTTGTTGAGCGCTGACTTATGCTCCAGAAGATCGTGGTTTGATTCCCAATTGGGGCATGTGCCCAGGTTTCAGGCTCAATCCCCGGAGTGGGGTGCGCAGGAGGCAGTCAATCAATGATTCTCTCTCATTATTGATGTTTCTATCTTTCCATCCCTTTCCCTTCCTTCTGAAATCAATTGAAAGTATATCTCTAAAAATGTCTTTGAAGAAGTCATTAATATTTAACAAAAGTATTCGCGTGGATGCAAGGGCCCTGGAAACAATGAATATTTGATGTGAATGTGAGACCAGTTTCCTCATCTATAACTGAGGATACCACCACCATCTGCCTCATATGCATGCTGGGAGGGTAGATCCCCAAAACATGCAATTGCTTAGAATACTGCCTGGCATATAGTGAATTTCAAGAAATGTTAGCTGCCACTATCATCATCATCAACATAAAAGTCACAACGAGGCTCTCAGGAAAAAATCTAATCATGCAAGGATTAAACTGAGAAATACATTGAATCAACAAATCCCTGCTTCTTCTTTAAAAGTTAAAATTAAAATGTCAAGGCCTCCTTTAATGTCATTTGAAGATAAAAATAAATATGATGACTCAAACTAAATAAAAATCAAGGTAATTGTAGAATATGCTTTTTCAAAAAATTCCCCATGTCCTTCTATCCTTCCTTGGAAACCCTGCATTACTAGAACAGAGCAGACCATGGATTGTTTACTTTTTTTTTCCCATTGGGAACATAAAATTTATATAAATACTTGACTGTAAATTGAGTATGTTGTCTGTTCAGCAGTTTGCTTACTCTAAAAACTGGAGATGTATTACTTTTCACATTCCGAGTGCTTCTGTCTATGCAAAAGTCTTTGGAGTATTTATTTCAGAGTGTTTCTTTCTTAGGCAAAAATATTCATTTACCTAAGCATTTCAAGAGGAGGTGTTAATTTTCACTTGCATCATCCTAACTGAAACGAAAAAGGGAATTCTAGGTGCTACTGATCTCTGTTGTTTCTGTGGATAAGCATAACTTTCAAGTTTAAATATGAAGTGAACAATTTTCTTATTTTGGAACAATAACACTGTTTCTGAACAGAAGATCACATAGTTCACATACCTTAGGCACAACCAATAAAAAATGACTACTTTTCTTTTTTTTAAATATTTTTATTAAATTATTATCTGTGTACATATTTTAACATTGCCCCTCCCCCTCCCATACATACCCTCCCTCCCCAGAGTTTTGTGACCATTGGTTGTACTTATATGCATGTATACAAGTCCTTCGGTTGATCTCTTATCTTCCCCAGATATTCCTACCCTCCCCGCTGTAATTTGACAGTCTGCTTATTGCTTTACTGTCTTTATATCTGTCTTTTGGATCATCAGTTTATAATGTTTTTTAAGATCCATAAATGAGTGAGGTCATGTGGTATTTCTCCTTCATTCACTGGCTTATTTCACTTAGCATAATGTTCTCTAATTCTATCTAGGTTGCTGCAAATGATGAGAATTCCTTCTTTTTTATGGCAGCATAGTATTTCATTGTGTAGATGTACCAAAGTAAAAAATGACTACTTTTCAATGATGACTTTTTGGAACCTCCGACCGCGGAAGCAAGAGTGATGACTAAGCCAGCCTACTAAAAGTGATGTGAACACTTACTAGATGAGGAGATACTACTACTACTCGCAAATTGTCAACTCAGAGTGCATTTCACACACATCTCTGCAGCCACAGAGAACTTCTGTTGAGATCACGGGGGGAGAAAGACTCTTGAATTCACCAATGGAAGCCACTACTGCCCCTTCCATGTTCTTTGGAAATGTTCTCTGTTCTGTCATTCCTCCCAAAGAGTTCCAGAATGTGGAGCAGCGTCCCACACACCAGTGTCTCCAAACTCCCCGTTTTTGTTATGGGTGTTGTAACTTATTTGGACTGAAAACCTTAGCCCACTTTTAAAAAAATAAACTTTTATTTTAAAGAAGCTTGTGATGTTCAGGAAAGGTGCAAGCAAAGACAGTACAGAGTTCTCATATACCCATACCCAGTTTTCTCTATTGCTTTCATCTTACATTACTAGACTATGTATATCACGACTGTACCAACATTGACCTACAATATTGATCCATCTTCACAATGAACCAATATTAATAAACGATTAACCAAACTCCACTTTATTCAAATTTCCATTTGTTTGTCCCAAATGTCCTTAAATTTTGACACTTTCTCCCCCATCCATTCTTCCTTATTATTCCTATTGTTTAACACCTTGTTCTGTATTTTTTAACATGTGACAATCTTTTGAATTACTACTGTTATCCATCATATGCCCTGTTCCTCCTAATTCGTGTTATTTTTTAACTTCTATATCTTTCCCCATTGACAAAACTACTAACCACACTAGTGTTTAAGACATAGACCTGGAACTCTAGAATCATCTCCAGATTGAAAGGATATTGACAATAGCTATTCTATGGAATAATGAGGCCCAAACCCTCCTGTCAGCATGGACAGCTCAGAAGCTTGCCCACATTTCTACATCCTGTTCACAAAAATTTTAGGAGTGAACTTGCACTAATGCCTTGCTTAAATCCAGATACACTGGCTCCATTTCCCTATTCTATCTACTAGCAAAGAAAAGAAAAAAGACCATGTCACATTTTAAGAAAATCCATATTGGGCCGGGACCGGTTTGGCTCAATGGATAGAGCGTCGGCTTGGGGACTGAAGGGCCCCAGGTTCGATTCCGGTCAAGGGCATGTACTTTAGTTGCGGGCACATCCCCAGTAGGGGGTGTGCAAGAGGCAGCTGATGGATGACCCTCATTCATTGATGTTTCTAACTCTCTATCTCTTCCTCTCTGTACAAAAATCAATAAAATATATTTAAAAAAAAAAAAAAAAAGGAAAATCCATATTGGGTCTATTTGAACGTCCTTATCCAGAGATTACAGAAGAGCCCAACTAACCATCAGGGCTGGAATCAAAGGAAAAGAATCTATGCTCACCGATCTACAGCGGTGGAATCTATCTTCTATTTTCTCAAAATGAGAACGACTTAATGCACATGTAGTAGTTCTAGGCTTTTATAGTGCTCTCGGCACATTCTCTCCAAGTTATTCTTAGAAAGAAAAAAACGTATGAAATATGTACATTTTCCCTCACAAATAATCTGTCACTAGAGTCTTATGTTTTGTTTTGTTTTTATAATCCCTTCCAAAGTCTGCTTCTTTAAAGTCTAAAGTACTACTGATCTTCTTACATATCATAAATTCACAGTACACATGACCACTCTTTCCCAAAGGATTGTCACTTCTTTCCTGGCAATTAATTCCACCTACATCTCTGGGTGGGTGCTGTTGTTTTTTACACTGTTCAGCACTAAAAATGTAATTTAAATTGTTACTTCCTAAACTCTCAAGTCAATGGGAACTCTGAAGGAAGTTAATTCACAACATGGTCTATTGCCTCCATCTAGAGGTCATTCTAACTACACACATCTTGACAAAAACTCTGTATTTTATTGACATTGGTGTGGAATATATCTTTAATAATCAACAAACAATCTTGTTTCAACAACTATTAAAACAACTCAGTTCATTTTCCTGTAGCACTTCTGCCTGAGCATGAATGCTGTTTATACTGTACAAAAGCAGAGGAAGAATATAATGTGAGAGAATACTGAGTATTTAAGAATATAAGCTCTGCCTTTGTTTTTCCATTTGTTGTGTGAACCTTGGTTATTAATCTACTCATCAATACACACACACAGCCTTGCTTACCTCATCTATGAAATGAAAACAAGTTGTTCTGTGAATCACACGCTCTGAGGCATGTGGATACAATTTGTAAATAGTAGATCACAACACGTATGTAAGACATTATTTATAATTAAGGTCAGGCCAATTTGGCTAACAAACTGCAAACCATTGGTGGTTTTAGTTTCTTCGTTCCAGAACTCAAAGCTTGTGTAGCCTTAAGGTTACAAAGCAACTTAATTCTGGAAAAGATGAAGATGAAAAACAAGTCTTTAAAAGAATATGGTTTTTCAGTTATTCCCTCAATGTTAGTCTTTTAGGATAAATATTCCTGAGGATTTCGTCTTTTATTTCAAAATGAAGGCTTATAAACCATCACATAATCCTGTAAACCATGGATCTGCAAACTTGCTGCAGGGCCAGCTAGCGACCATGTGAGACTGTGAAGTCAGAGCATTTCTGCTGCAACTATTCAACTTCATCGTTATATTCTGGTTAGAAACAGCATCATTTTAGCTTTTTTTTTTTTCCTGTTAAATTAGTTTTAATTAGAATTTATCAAATTCCAAGCTACTGGACTTGGTAGATTCACTTATGAAATCTTCAATGAAAAGTTCACCTTAAATGTATTGAAAATATATACAATGAAAAATTCCTGAGGATAAGCAGAACAAGAACAGCTGCTGTTATCTACTAAATAGGTTTTGCAGTGAATGTGACAAATAGGTTAAATTAAGTCAATCATATTTTTACATTTCATTCACAGGGGCATGTTAGAAATTGAAGGCTGCATAGATTTTACGTACTTACCACAGATGACAACATCCATTCTCGGGGGCTTTAGTAACAGCTCTTTCACCTAATGTCCTTCCTGAAAGATAAACGGACTTACAATTAGTACCTCTGTGTGAGTTGGTAAGTTATTGAATTAAACTAGTGGTTTCCAAAGTATGGTCCCAAGACCAAAAACCTCACTTGGAAACTTGCTAGAAAGCTAAAGTTTTGGCCACAGGACAGTGTTTAAAATTGAGGACTCTCAGAACATTTAATATTGATATACTTTAATTTTTCTCAGTAGACATTAAAAAAAAAAAGTTTGTTCCCTGTGGTTAAATTTTTATTTACCTTTGAGTTAATAAATCTTTTGTCTACATTTTGTCTATGGCCTGTGCGATGAATTGCTATGGAAAAACGGGTGGTGACTATGTAAAGAACAAGAGAAACCTCAGAGGGAAGGTAGGGGAAGGTGGGGATAAGGGGGAGAGATCAACCAAAGGACTTGTATGCATGCATATGAGCCTAACCAGCATCCATGGGGAGGGGTTTGGGATGGGAATGGGGGGATGAGGACAATTATGTGATACCTTAATCAATGAAGAAATTTAAAAGAGAGAGAGAGAGAGAGAGAGAGAGAGAGAGAGAGAGAGAGAGAGAGAGAGAGCTGCTTCCCACCCTCCTCCCACTGAAACAGAATTATGGTGCAGAAGTCAATTGGCAAGGAAAACTACGGTTCGAGAAAAGGAATTACTGGAAGTTTGAAAATATTTCCTACTTGGAAACAAAGATGACAGAGAGACTTGGAAGAAGGTCTGGAGGGCCCTGCCTTCCTGCAGATTCTTCCTCCAGCTCTTAGACAAGGAAAGTTTGGAAAAGGGAGGACTTTGGAATGAAGAAATTAAAGAAGTTTAATGTCAAATTATTACCCTGAAGGTCATCACAGAGATGGCAGTTAAGGAGCTTTTTGCGAGAAAGGGTTTTGTTATGCAGTGTGAGTCCTGGGGCCATGTGTATGTATAGACAGCTTGATGTTCTGGCTGGTTTCCTTTCATTGTTGTTATTACTGAGAAGTTCAAAAATATGCAAGAGTATAGAGTACAGTATTAAGAGCCACCATGTACTTCTTATTCAGCTAAAACAATTATCTGCTCAAGGCTAATCTGGTTTTATTATGATCAGTTTTGAAAAAACATTCAAGTCTGAGCAGTTATTTCTTCGTGGACCTGGAGTTCTCAGATCTATAATAGGCAGTAAGAGCGTTGTTTTAATTGCCGTGAAAGACTGTTGCCTTCTGCCTGGCATTGGTTCATGAAAATTACTTCATGTCTCTTCTGGGGTTTTATAAACATTTAAAGCTAAAATCTGAGATTTTTAGTCGCTATTCTTTTATGCTCACATGTTTTTAAAGAACATATACTTTAGTCCTAAAAAAAAAAAAAAGTTCCTGTCCTTAGACTATGTGTATTTTTTAGTACCAGGATATACTGAAATAGAATAAACATATTAGTTTTAGCTAAGATACTTTAGCTTTAATTAAAATTCACTAGTGTTTTATTATTGGCAACAACTGTCACTTAAGGAAAATCAATCTTTACAAAGTACTTACCGATATTAGCATAATGTTTCTTTTCTTCTGTATTTGTAGACAGATCATACATGTCTCCATAAGCACGAACTAACCGCCAAATAAACTCTATTTCATCTTTAAACTGAAAAGATAGACCTGCACATTAGATGAACTCACTCACTTGACCAGACTATAACTGTTTTCCACTGAAACATCAAAAAGATTAGGCAGGTAAGCTGGTATTTATAGATGACTGAACCTATTCCTGTGCATATAATGTTTTCAATTAAAATATTCCTGGCTACAGAATGTGATTTAATATAGTGTAACATGTGGAACTGAAAACTAAGTAATACTATCCAGGCACTAGCTCCCACATACGTGGAAGAGAGAACTGACAAGTGCCAGAGTCCATACCTCCCCCTCGGTTGTAGTATCTTCTCGTTTCCTTTATAAGATATCGACTATCGATATGATGCTTCAATGAACATTTCAGATAATATCAGTAAGTTACTACAGATCACATATGCTCAAAAGAGCAGACTTTTTTTTTAAACCTAAATTACTAAAATATAATTCTAGAGATTAAAAAACTTTTAGACAATGTGTTTAGAGTTGCTAGATCCTCAAAGATCAGGCTTGTTCATGGGAAAGAGATTTCTTGCTCCTTGACATACTGCAAACCCTTATTTGGTGGTAGTGGTGGTGGAGTGATGTGGTGGTATGGTGGTGGTGGTGGTGATGGTGGAGTTGGTGGTGGTGGTGATGGTGGAGTTGGTGGTGGTGGTGGTGGTGGAGTTGGTGGTGGTGGTGGTGGTGGTGATGGTGGAGTTGGTGGTGGTGGTGGAGTTGGGGGGGTGGTAATGGGGGGGGGGTGGTGGTGGTGTGGTGGTGGTGGAGTTGGTGGTGGTGGTGATGGTGGTGGTGGTGGTGGTGGTGGTGGTGGTGTGGTGGTGACAATGGCAGAGATGAGCTTTCCCAATTCATCCCAACATTAAACACTGAAAACCAATCGCTGGTAGAAGTAGATTAAAATACTGCTGGTGTCCTGGGTGGCTTGGTTGGTTGGAGCATTGTCCTGTACCCCAAAAAGGCTGCAGATTCGATTCCCAATCAGGGCACATACCTAGGTTAGAGTGAGGGATTGATTCCCAGTTAGGGTACTTACTAAATGATGTTTCTCACATTGATGTTTCTTTCTCTCTCCCTTCCTCTCTAAAATCAATAAACATATCCTTGGGCGAAGATTAAAAAAAATACTGATGGCTATTACATTAATAACTCTTAAGTTAGAAAACTTCAAATGTAGCTCCCCTCTCAAGAATAGCAGTGTGTCTTGTTATTTAGGTTATCAAATAGTTATTAAATATAACAAAGTAATAAAAATCCAAGTAAATCTATATACTCATATCTCTGGTTCTCATTTTATAATCTTAGAGCCTAACAAAGTCTCATGTAAACTTTTTAAAAACTATACACCTTTTATTTATTTATTTTAATCCTCACCCAAAGATAATGTTTATTTTATTAATATATTTTTATTGATTTCAGAGAGGAAGGGTGAGGGAGAGAAACATCAATGATGAGAGAGAATCATTGATCAGCTGCCTTCTCTGCACACCCCCTACTGGGGATCGAGCCCCCAACCCAGGCATGTGCCCTTGACCGAAAGTGAACCAAGGATCCTTTAGTTCACAGGCTGATGCTCTGTTCACTGAACCAAACCAGCTAGGGCTATTTATTGATTTTAGAGCAAGGAAGGGGGAAGAGAAAGAGAGAATAAAACATTTATGCGAGAGAGAAACATGGATTGGTTGCCTGCCACTCAGACCCCAACCAGGGATGACCTTTTGGTGCAAGGGAGCATGTGCCAACCAACTGAGCCACATCACACAGGATTCTCATATATACTTTTTTTTAAATTTTAGTCATATTATAGAAAAATTTTCTATCAGTCATTTAGCATTTGTAAACTCTGATACAATTGTTATGGGCATGATATGAACAGAATCATGGATTAAATATAAATTAAAGCTATATACAATCTTGTTAACATATATCTCTTACCTTTTCTTTGTGGTCACAAAGTAGTTCAAAACTCTCTATCTTTTTAGACTCGTCCATACGTAAGTTATCTGCCTTCTGAAGAAGGGCATCTAAGTTTAATTCCTCAATATGTATGTTAAGTGCTTTAGGGTCTGGAAAACTCTGTTCTTCTGTGTCAGTGCTAGCTGTAATGTACCTAAAATTGCAGAAATAATATCAACTCTCTTAAAAGTTATACTCTAATAACCAGAGTGATCCTTTTAAAATGCAAATCAAATCGTTCCACTCTTATGCTGAAACCCTGCTATGGTACCCCCTTCAGAGAAAAAAATTCAAGCCCTCACTAGTGACTACAAGGCCCTATATTTGTCTCCCAACCACATCACCTCTCTGACATTTGCTCCATACTACTCTCATCCTTCATTCATCTCCACACAGGCTACCTGGCTATTCCTTAAACAGGCTAGTCACACCCCGACCTCAGGACCTTTGCTTGCTCTCACCTCCTTCAAGTCTCAGCTCCAATGTCATCTTCTCAATGTGGCCCATCCAGACCACTCTATTTAATACTGCAACCTCCACACTCCAACCCACCCACATTCTCTTTATGGCCAATCTCTCCTAGCTTGGCATTTCTTTTCTGTAGCAAGTACCATCTTCGGATATACTATATAATTTACTAATCTACTACATGTGCTACTTTTATCAGTATCACCCCCACTAGAGTGCATGCTCCCCGACAACAGGATTCTTTGTTTTATTAACTGGTGTATCAAGTGCCTAGAACAGCATCTGACTCATAGTGGATATGCACTGAATATTGCTGAATGTATGATACAGCATTGTAGGAACTCAGCAGGCACTCAAATACAAACACACACACACACACACACACACACACACTCACTTATATATATTTATAGTTCAAGATAATGTTCTCATTCTCAACTTGGGTTTTTAAAACTTCATGCTATCTTCCATATTTCCTTTTTTTGTGTGTGTGGCATACAAAAACAATTTATTCAAGCCTTGCCCTGTTCTAAAAAGATTTTAGAAAGGTATGTAAGAATACATAACATATAAGAGAACTAATTAGAAGTAGTCACACCCCGACCTCGGGACCTTTGCTTGCTTGAAAAAGATAAAACCAATGCCAAATGTGAGTAAGGTCAATAAAAACAATACATATATTTCAAATATCTATATCCTTGTTACGAAGGATACACATGCCTGTATCTTCCAGCAGCTATTAACAAAGAAATAAATGAAACAAGTTTTGAGAGAAGTGCAACTGTTTCCAATATAAAATAAATTTATTTCAAAGACCTTATAAAAAAGACACTAGATGAAATGATATTCAACCTCTTCTACAATATTATTAATGGAAACTTCACTCTTCCAGTTGCCCAGGTGAAAATATGTAGAGTCATCCTTGAACCTCTTTTTCCTTCCTAAGCAATATCACCTGTTATAAATTCCCTTTTGGTTCTATCTTCAAAATACATCCAGAACACAGCCACTGAAAACTACTACACATTGAGAAAACTATAGCACATTGAAAAGACTTCAACACATGTGAAGGCACAAATGGAAATCTCATGTTATCAGTTTGAAGACTTAATATTGTCAAGATGTCAATATTACCCAAAGATTCAGTGCAATCCTCAAACTCCCAACAATGTCTTTTGTAAAGACAGAAAAATCCATCCTAGAATGCATATAGAAGATCTTAAGTAGCAAAAACAATCATGAAAAAGAAAAACAGAGTTGGAGGTCTCACACTTCCTGATTTTAAAACTTACTACAAAGCTACAGTGATCAAAACAGTGTGTACTGGCATAAAGTCAGACATATACATCAATGGAATAGAATAGAGCCCAGAAGTTGAACTCTCACATATATGATCAAAGAGTTTTGACAAGACTATTTAATGGAGGAAAAAAGAATTCTTCAGCAAATAGTGCTGGGGGGGGAGGGGAGAGTAAGGGTGGGAAGTAAAAAACAAAAATAACATCTTAGCCCAATGACAAATACAGGGAACATTTTATTACGATAATTGAAAATAATGCAAATCCCTTTCCTCTAAAAAGGTTAATTCTATTCTAACTTAAGCATTTTTAATTGCTTCTCTACATTGTCCATTCATTATTTAATCTGATAAATATACTTATAAACTTTGTATGATATAATAGATAAATATAAAATAAAAATAAAAATTTTGGAAAACACCTAAAATGTATTAACTTTAAAAAATAAAAATTACTAATATATACATTTTTTATTTCGGAGTTCTCTGAATTCCCAGACACATGCATACATAAATGTGTATTAAAAGTATTTAGTTAAAATATCTGGTTTTCAGTAGTCTACATATTTCCATGACAATGTTTTTACATATAATTTGGTCCTTGAATTAGTAAAAACATCATCTGTCAGCGAAATGTGTGGCATGAGAAATATAATTAACAAGTCTTATGTAAATGAAAATTTCTGAACTGATAAATATGAAAATATACAGGGTGGGACAAAAGTAAGTTTACAGGTGTGAGTATTATTAACTTGTTATATTATTTTCCATAGGAACAACTATAAACCTACTTTTGCCCTGCCTTATATGTTATATAAGAAAACTAACTCCAATCATGAGATTAGGATAAAAAATGTTAAACTCTCAAAGAAATGTAATACATTTAGAAGACCTACAATATATATCAAAGCTTGATGTTATTTTCAGACCACAAATGTATTACAACAGTCACTCAGAAATTTGGGACCAGCCAATCCAGGAAACCTGTTAAAACCCTGAAACACATGCATTATGTTTGACTTCCATATTCCAATAATACTAATGAACTATTTTTCAGAAAACACAGAAATTAAAATTAAATATAGATTGCAACATGGCAATCCTTTTCAGAAAATGTAGTGAAGCTTAGTGAGGGACGAGGCTTCGGTGAAAACTGAGAAGTGATTTCTACAGAGTATGCCGGATAGGAAAACTTCTGATTTGAGCTGCCCTTCTAAGAGAGGTTAAAATCTGAGGTGACCTTAAGTTAGGAATTTCACTAGGTGAAGATTTGTCTTCATCTTCAGATGACTTAGCATTATTTCCATCATCAAAGGAATCTGTAACTTCTTTTAGAACTGGGATAAATTTCTTAGGGTGTTTATAAGGCGAAGCAACTTTATGGGGATCAGAAGTCGTGTTTCCAGAGGTCACAGCTGGGGGTTGACTTGCACTGTGACTTTGCAAATCAGCAGGAAGGAGCTCCTTCTTTGGTTGGCTTCTTCTTTCTTGTGTATCACTGTCACTGTCACTTATCAAAGACTGGGAAATGAGAGGTGGGAGAGAAAGGAAGGTTGCATGTCCGTGGCTATCTCTAAGTGTGGAGGAATGAGATTTTGTGTCAAAATTTAGAAAATGTCTAGTGTTATAGTCAGGAGGACAAGAACTTAGATCTTTTTCAACATCAACGTTACTTGAGATTTTAGAAGCTGTTTCAATTTCATTTGGATCCACTACGTTCTCAACACTTGATTGAAGATCAGTAAACATAGCACTTTCATAACAGGAGATTATACTTAGTTTAGGGGTGGAGAAATGTCTCCAGGATCTAAAAGCAAAATGCTCTGAGCAAGGTTTTAGTTCAATGACGCTGCTTTTGTCTTCAGATTCAAAGTTAGCTCTGCTTTGTTGACGCTGAAGGGAACCAATGCTTTTTGGAAGTTTACCAAATAAAGAAAGTCTTCTATCAGAGGAAGATGACAAAGATATAGTTGATGTAGTAGTAAAATTACTTCCTCTCCTTATACTGACTTTTCGTATTTTAAAGTGGCTTGAAGGGGCAGTAAGAAAATTAAGTTGGCAAGAAACAGGAGAGGTCCCATGATGCAAGGGTTCTTCAGTAACTTGAATGGCAGGGCAATTTTGTTGGAAGTTCTGTTCCTTTTTGAAGCAGCTAGAGCGAGAAAAGTGTCAGATGAGAAAAAAAAAAAAAAAATAGGCAGCCAATGTGGAAACCTCCCAAGCCGCCTGAAGGTACTATCCGCCTTATCAATATGGAAACAATAGGGAAATAGAAAACCAGGGCAGCTAAAGTGGATGGTCACACTGAAGTACCCAAAAGGATGCTAAGTCTAAAAAATTGTCTCTACCTCTATGTACCTGCCCGGTCTATTAAACCTTGGGGAAGATAAGTTGAAAGACTTAGAGAAGCAGGCAGAGAGAAAGATCAGGGAGACACATGAGAGGGCACAAAACTAAAGGATCCCCTGAAGGAGAAGGTAGAACTTTCCATCTTCAAAATAATAAGCCATAATATCTGTTTGCAAATATTAAATTCCTCTAGTGATAGGAGTCAGTAAAATAAAGGTATACCCTGTTGACTCATGCATTTTAAAATATGAACCACAGATTAAACAGAATCACTCGCAAGACTATTTCAGATAAATATCCAGATATCCCAGTTATTCAGTTACAGTGAGAAACTAAACAAAGCATTAAAGCTTGGCTTATGAATATATCAGTGAGCTTAAGCACATAAATATACAGAGAAAGATTTATTTATTTTTCTTTTTAAAGGCTTACCTTACACATTTTCCCATATTACACTTAATCAAAAATAAACCTCTCCCTTCCTTTCTAAGCCATCATTTTTAAGCCATAAAATGCCTGTATGGATGGAACAGGTCAGAAGACTGAATGTTTAAGTTGCTTGTAGAATTAACCTGGCAACAGCACAGAATGTGATGACAAGTAGACTCTAGAATCTAATGACGTCAGATTAGAATAAAATTGTCCTGCGGCTCACCTTTCTGAAAAGCTCCAATCCACATGACTGTGGAATATTCTAATTTTGTCATGTTCAAGGAGTCATCCAACAAATCAAGTGATGAGAAAACAGCAAAATGAAGGCCATATCATATACACTGAGTGGCCAGAATATTATGATCTCTGAATGCAAAATAGTCTGGCCACTCAGAGTATATCCAATATAATAAAAGGTTAATATGCAAATAGTCCCATCGACCAGGAGTTCCACCAGCAGGCAGGTTGGCCAACTGCACATGTCCCCTCCCCCTGGCCAGGCTGGCCAGACCCCAGCCATGCATGAATTCATGCACTGGGCCTGGCCACTCCGTGTATATCTGCACAATCCTTTACTTGGGACTGTCTCTCCTACTGGCTGCTCTCCATACCCCTGGCCTACCGTGTTTCCTCGAAAATTTAACATCCTCCGAAAATAAGACCTACTTACAGGTTTCCTTCTGAGTGAAATATAAGGCATCCCCCTGAAAATAAAGCCCCCAGGCTCTGTCTCAGAATGAAAATTAATTTACTGTAAACTGGTCACTAGGGCCGCCCCGACTGGCGTCTAGCAGCCAGTGACCTTACACGGAGTCCTGACGTCACTGCTGTGTGGAGGCGGAGTGCAGGTCAGAGTGAGCGGTGAGCATGGGGCGGGGGAGAGGAGGAGACTTTCACAGATGCGTGTAGAAGAACAGGAGGATTAGAGCGGATGGGACGCGGCGAAGGTAGTGAGTGCTGGTCTGTCTCTGGTGACACTACCTGATGCTCGCGGCCGCCCTCATGATGACTGAAGGTTCTCAGTCAGTGGCAGACCCTGCTCCAGCCCAGATCCAGGCCCCAGCAAGCCCAGTGACAGTCCCCAGGGGGTAAATGTCTGATAAAGGGGTAAGGGGGATGTCTGGTGAAGGTGTTAAGTGGAACAGGGGTAGGGGGGAGGGGGATCACTTAAAATGACACAGGAGGATCAGAGGGGAAATCAAAATGACACGGGAGATCAAAAGGGGTTACTAAAATGGTAATCCCCCCTCTGATTCTCCTGTACCATTTTGATTTCCCCCTCTGATCCCCCCTGTGTCATTTTAAGTGATCCCCCTCCCCCCACCTTGATACCCCAATTCCTTCTTTTTACCCCTAGAAATGAGTGCAAAAAGAAAAAGCTACTCCGTGGAGTACAAGAAAGGAATCGTGGAAGACTCTTGGGGCCAAAGTCTTACTGCTTTCTGCAAAGAGAAGATGTTGAGTATCCAATTGGTCTGAAAATGGCGAGCAGAGTATGGTAACCTCATTGAACAAGTGGACAAGGGAAATGCTAAAAAGCACAAGTGTGGATCAGGACGGCAACCATTATTTTCAGAGCTGGAAGACCTAATCTGTGAATGGGTTGTTGACAGGGGAGCAAAGGCTTTGGTTGTGAATAGGGCTCAGATTCAAGAATTTGCCCTTGCAATGGCACCACAGTTTGACATAGCCCCCGAAGACTTCAAAGCATCACAACGCTGGCTGGATAATTTCCTTCAGCAAAGTGAATTGTCTTTAAGAAGATCTACAACATTGTTTAGGTTGGAAGATACTCAAGTTATTAAGCAAGCACTTGCATTCAAGTCCTTTATTGATGATGCTGACTTCTCTAAATACAATCTTTCCAACATGATTGCTATGGATGAAACTGCAGTGTTTATGGGCCAATCATCTCAAACAACAATTGAACAGCGGGGTGCCTCCTTAGTGTATTTTGGCAATTCGTCTGGATGGCACTAAAAATCCCACCTTTAATCATTTCTAAGGGCAAGAAGGAAAAGATTGAATGTGTTTTGGGTGTTTTTATTCTTGAAACTGAAAAAGCCTGGGCCACACAAGCAGTTATAAGGAAGTGGGTCAATTTAATGCTGCCGCTTGTTATGCAAGGGAGCCAAAGAGGTCTGCTAGTCTGGGATGCAGCCAGCACTCACTGCACTAAAGAAATGAAGACATTTCTTCATGAAAGAAAAATAGATCAGATAATGATTCCCGCAGGAATGACGGCCTATCTCCAGACTCTTGATATTGCAATAAACAGCCATTCAAAGACAATTTGTGCATGGAAATTAATGACTACATTGAACATAGAATGGAGAGAAATCAGCGTGGAAACTTTGTGAAACCTAAACTGCAAGAAGTTGTGACTTGGGTGAAGAATTCATGGGAGAAAATCACTGACAGTTGCATTGCAAATGCACTGCGAGCAGGCTACCTTGATAAGAAGTACTCATTTAAAGACAGTGCTATTGCTAAACATGAGAGATTTGGTCCACTGATTCTGAAAGAAATGGAGTCACAAAAAATTCACCAGGAAATTCAGAAATTGGATTGTTATGATGATGTTCCAGAAGATAATGACATGATTGTCAATGAATAAATGAGTAAATTCTTGATACTGTAGGATTCACAGTTTGTCTGGTTTGTGTTGACAACTACCACACTACCATACCGTATACAGGTAATAAATTTCCTTTATTTTAATTTAACAATAAATGTGTACCGTATTCTTCTTCATGGAAAAATAAGACATCCCCTGAAAATAAGACCTAGCGCATCTTTGGGACCAAAAATTAATATAAGACACTGTCTTATTTTTGGGGAAACAGGGTACTAACTCATTCTTCTTTCACCAAGCATGCTTTACCCCAGGTTTTTATCTACATGATCCAGTAATAAGGAAAAGTGACTATTATAAAATTTGATCTGAAGATATACTGAAAAAGTAAAAACAAAAAACAAAACTAAACAGCAAATGCTATTGCCCCTTTCTACCTTGCTTCATCTATCTTAACAATACAGTGTCCCATCTGACTGCATGGACCACATGAGTAGACTATGGAGACCTGCTGAGCCACTGTTTATAACCCCTTGAAACAACTTAATGCCCATTTAAAGGCAAAGTTAACAGAATCATTTTCCTTTTCTAAACCAACTTGAAGTACTGTCCACATAATAGCTGTATGTGTGCAGCCACTCATGGCATAAAACACCCTCTAAATTATATTTCTTTTTACTTCTCAGTATCCTGAATACCCTGCTCTCATCTGTTTTTGTTTCATTCCTAACAACCTTCTTTTGGGAAACCCTTGGGGAACAAATTCCTTTCCAGAGGCCTAAAACTCTCCAATTCCCTCCATACAGTTGATGGTCAGTTTATATTATAGTTTTATTTTACCCTACACACAAGTTAGTAAATCTGTCACTGTCTCGTGGATGCTGAAGACACATGATTCTTGGGTCAGAGAGAAAGGACTTTATCACTCACAGCATATCAAGCAGTGTGAGACCCAGTATATTTGTGTCGATTCCCCAGAACAATGCACAGGGCCCAGAAACTCAACATTCGCGATGAGTTGAGTTACAAAGAAAGGAACACTGAGCTTTGGGAACCCACCACTTTTATAGCAAGCCGTGAGTAAATCTGCTAAGCCTGATGTTGGTCCTGGACAAAAACATTCCCTCATTCCTTAAGGTTTCTCATCACAACCCTGAGAAATGGCCAGGACAAAGGAGGGTCATGTAGACCTTATATCCCTCAACAAAAATTATCTCAAAATGGATCGCAGACCTAAATAGAAAATGCAAAACTGAAAGTCTTCTAGAAGATAACATTGGAGAAAACCTAGATAAATTTGGGTATGGCAATGACTTTTGAGATGCCATGCCAAAGGCACAATTCATGACGGAAATAATTGATAAGCTTCTGCTCGGTGAAAGACAATGCTAAGAGAATGAAAAGCCACAGACTAGGAGAAAATATTTGCAAACTATATATCTGAAAAAGAACTGCTATCCAAAACATACAAAGAACTCTTAAAACTCAACAACAAGGAAATGAACAACCCGATTTAAAAATGGGCCAAAGACCTTACGAGACACCTCACCAAGGAAGATATGCAGATGGCAAACAAGCATATGAAAAGATGCCCCACATCATATGTCATCAGAGAAATGTGAATTAAAACAACAGTGAGATACCACTGCACACCTATAGGAATGGTCACATCCAGAACACTGACACCACCAAAATCCTCATGAGGATGTGGAGCAGCAGGAGGCCTCGTTCACTGTTGGTGGGAGTGCCAAGTGGTTCACGTTGGAAGTGAAGACAGTTGAAAGGTTTCTTACAAAACTAAACATACTCTTACTATACAACCCAGCAATAATGCTTCTTAGTATTTACCCAATGAGACAAAAACTTATGTCCACTCAAAAATCTGTGCATGAATGTTTACAGTGATTGTCTTGAGAATTGCCCAAACTTGGAATCCACCATGACATGATGTCCTTCAGTAGGTTAATAGATAAAGAAACTGTGGTACATCTAGAGTCTAGACAATGGGATATTATTCAGCACTTAAAAAAAAAAGTGAACTGTCAAGCCATAAAAAGATGTGGAGAAAACTTAAATATATTATGAAGGAAGTCGATCTGAAAAGGCTACATACTGTATGATTCCAACGATATGACATTCTGAAAGAGGTGTGACTATGGAGACAGCAAAAAGATGAGTGGTTGCCAGGGATTGAGGGGAGAAAGCGATGAACAGGCAGAGCACAGAGGATTTTTAGGACAGTGAAAATAGTCTGATACCACAACATAATGCTTCATGTCATTAAACATTTGTCCAAATCCATAGAACGTACAACACCAAGAGTGAACCCTAAGGCAAACTATGAACTCTGAATGATTATGATGTATTAATATAGTTTTTTTTGGTATGGGGTAATGGGGGGGGGGGGCAATGTGTAGGGTCAGGGGCATATGGGAAATCTCTGTATTTTCCCCTCAATTTTTTCGCTGAACCTAAAACTGCTCTAAAACGGTAGTATCAATTTTTTAAGTATCAAGGGGAGAAAAAAAGGGCCTTACGTTCTTAGGACACATGCAAGATGTGCAAGAGAGTAAGAAGCCCCAGAGCCCTGCTGGTGTGGCTCAGTTGGTTGGGTGTTGTCCCTTGCATCGAAAGGTTGCCAGTTCGATTCCGGTCAGTAAACATGCCCAGGTTGCAGCTAGACCTCTGATAGGGGATGTGCAGGAGGCAGCCAATCAACGTTTCTCCCTCTTTCTCTGTCCCTTCCTCTCTCTCTAAAAATCAATTTAAGCCGAAACCGGTTTGGCTCAGTGGATGGAGCGTCGGCCTGAGACTAAAAGGTCCCAGGTTCGATTCCGATCAGGGGCATGTACCTTGGTTGCGGGCACATCCCCAATGGGGGGTGTGCAAGAGGCAGCTGATCAATGATTCTCTCTCATCGATGTTTCTAACTCTCTATCACTCTCTCTTTCTCTCTGTAAAAAATAAATAAATTAATTAATTAATTAAAATTAAAATTAATTAAAATAAAAAGAAGCCCAAAGAGCATGGCTCTCTCCCCAGCAATCTACTATTTCCCCTCCCCCACCCCAGTGTTGTAAGATGGTTGTCTATTGTTCCTAAGTCACACTAAGATCCATGAGTACCTTTTCCAAAAGGAAATCTTTTGCAACTGAATCTTTAAAAAAAAAAAAAAAAAAAAAGCCAAACAAACAAACCTAGTTCTAAACTATAATTGACTGAGTTAATTTGCATAGACAAATTCAAGTTTTCCCACATTATCAAAAACAGCTGGTGAGCCGAAACCGGTTTGGCTCAGTGGATAGAGCATCAGCCTACGGACTGAAAGGTCCCAGGTTCGATTCCGATCAAGGGCATGTACCTTGGTTGCAAACACATACCTAGTAGGGGGTGTGCAAGAGGCAGCTGATCGATGATTCTCTCTCATCGATGTTTCTAACTCTCTCTCCCTCTCTCTTCCTCTCTATGAAAAATCAATAAGATATATTACAAAAAAAAAAAAAAAAAAACAGAGCTGGTGAACTGAATCCAGTTACATCTTTAGCTGATCTGAGTGTAGTGAATGTAAATTATTCAAACTATTACATTAATTATAGTAAATTGTACAATTGGCTTACCAGATATATCCAATTATGCAAAGAAACAACAATGTTCATCACTAAATTAGCACCATGTTAAATTGTTTGTTTGCTTTTTCCCATTACAATATTAACCTCTTGTGACTTGAAAAGTAGAAAAATACTTCTTGGGGATTACCAAACAATTTATTAGTCTATCTCTAGAATTTCCCTTTCCACCATTAGTTCCTTTAGAAAGAGAGTTCATTCATTCACTAGATAGAAGTTACTAAATGCAGTTTAGTAAATATAAAGAAATAGTACATGGTCAAGGATTTGAACTGATCCAATAATAAACTGCAAAAAGTTTTAAAAACAACAGAAACAAAAAGAAATACATATTTTAGGTTAACCAGTACAGATGTGTTCCAGCAACATCAGATTCGAGGAAGATAGCAATGAAAACACGGGGGTCCCCACCCTCAAGAATCTGGGCTTTGTCATATCCACTGGTGCTGCTTTACTTACTTGCCTATTTTGCTCCTCAAAAAAACTAGTCAATCACAACTTCTTTATTCATGAATCAGTTGTGTTTTCCTCTAAGACAATATTCTGGATATTCTTGGTTTTAGAATTCAGTGGATTATCCCATGGGAGGAAGAAAGTGACTCGATTGAACATTCTCAAATCTTTTTAGGTCTACACTGCCCAATCCAATAGCCATTAGTCCCATATGGCAATTTAAATTTAATTACAATTAAATAAATTTTAAAAATTAGTCCCTCCGTTATGCTAGCTATACTTCAAATGGCTGCTACACCGCACAGCACAGATTTGACCATTTCCATCATCGCACAAGGTTCTATTGAACTTATTGGATCATTCTTATATAAGGGGCTACATATAAAAATAGGTTACAAATTTTAGCTAACAAATATGGTCTTCTTCAATACTCACATGCTACCACCTAGCACTAATAAGTTACTTATATTCTTTTTGTCAATGCGGTCTACACTAGCTTAAATACTGACCTTTATTGAATATGGTTTTAATTGTAATGTAATAATATTACAACTAAATAATCACTTTTTTATATCTTGTTTGTAGCAGAATACAATGAGTATGCAAAAAATGTATCCTTATATTATTTGTTAATTTTTGTATTACCTATTATTCTTTACCTACTTTTTCCCACCCCTATATGTGACTGGGAAGGCATAATGGAAGTACCTCAATAATAGTAATAATGCAATCAATAAGCAATTCAACATGGAAAACATCTTAAACTTACCCCCCTTCACTTTCCGCTTCCTCTGAACTATTGCTTATTCCTGAACTCTGAACTGTGGTAAGTCTTCTTTTCCTAGCTCTGTGCTGAGGGCTGATCCTATGAGCAGTTGCCTTTCCTCCAAGCTCACCGCGTACACATTCCTCCAGCTTTGGAATGGTTTCTTTAAGAATTCTGATTTCCTCTCTGAGTTCTTCCATATTTGTCAGTAATTCGTTTAACTTCTCCAGTATCTGAAGCTGCCTTCCATGAAAGGTCGCTGCTGTTCCTTGATCCTTCTGCATCTCATCTTGCAAAGTCACTGAATCAAATGCATTACCCAGAGTAAGGAATTTAGGTAAATGCATTGCTGTCTTTGGTTTACAAACCTTGTGGTACCACAAAAGAAGCAAACTGATTCCAGTAGTTCCCACCATGATTCCAAGTACCAGTTCTTTGTTTGTGGAATGAGGCATTTCTTGTCTTTCTGTTTGTTTGTTTGTTTCTAAAATTAAAAAGCATAAATGTAAATGAATGCTGTCTCAGACTTTGTACAAAACAGCTTTTTAAACAGCAAAATCCAAGTCTATATCATCACACAGACACAAAAAATAATTGACAAATCATAAATCATAAACTAAAATGTATTACCTTTATAATGGATGTGGCCCAGTGGAAATATTTACTTTAAGGATATTATTGAAGTCCATTGTAAAGTATCAACGTATTCTACATGACTAATCTGACGTTTTCTCTACTGTATCTTTGTAAAGGGTGTGATAGAGGTAAAAGCATCATCATAAATTTTTTGGGGGAAAAACTATTTATGAATTAAAATTATGCTTAACTGTGTTTGAACCTTCTATTTGTATAAAATTAACTAGTACTGTATGCTGATGTCCAGGTCTTACCTAATCTTATCTAACCAAAAAGAAGCTCTTCCTTAGCACCTCGTTCACATTTGTATTTGTATTTGTATTTAGAGTGCTAAACACTTTAAAATTCCAGAGCTTTGAGGTTCAAAATATATTAGAGAACTTTGGCAAGTTTCTAACCCAACTCCCATATCGTTTTTTTCAACATGGAAAGCAGAGATGCGAACATAGGTGCAGCCTTCGTCTCCTTCCTTCCTAGGACCCAGAAATCTTCTGCTGCTGACATTTCTATTTCTGTCTGGATCTTAATGTTTTCCTTTCTTTCAAATTTTTACTTAAAATGTTTTCAATTTGTTTTAGAAAGAGAGAGAGTGGAGGGGAGAGAGAGACATAGCTTTGTTGTCCCACTTATCCATGCTTTTACTGGTTGCTTCTTGTACGTGGCCTGACCAGGGATCATGCAACCTTGGCATTGGGAGGACGATGCTCTAACCAACTGAGCCACCCTACCAGGGCTCAAAGTTTAACTTTTAAAAAAAGCAACAAGAAGTCATTTAATTGACTCTGTTCTGACTTTCTGCATTCAAGGCCCAAGCTTTGGCCCACCTGATTCCGTATAACCACAGCTCCTTTGACTATCAGGGGTCCTCAAACTTTTTAAAGTGGGGGCCAGATCACAGTCCCTCAGAGAGCTGGAGGGCCGGACTATATGAACTACTAATTCCTACTGTAACACCTCGGCTGCGCTCACTGCCCAAAAAACCTGGCGGGCCGGATCAGACTCCTCTGCGGGCCGCATGTGGCCCGCAGGCCGTAGTTTGAAGACACCTGGATAAATGCACCTAATCATTCTTTAGTATATCTCATCTTCACTAGTCTTATTGCTTATCTCTGTTCTTAAAGTCAAAAGACCATTAAAGGAAAATAATAACATAAAGCCCCCTTTCCTTCTGAGACGTTAAAATGGCACTCCGTATATTAGCACTATGATGAACTTACGTAATTAAGAGTAAAATGTAGTAAGGCTTTTTTACAGACTGAGAAGTTCCCCAAATGGTTTTCCCATCAATTCCCCCTATTTTGTATTAAATTTTGTGAGCAAGCTGGGAGAACATTACAAATAATGGTAGACTGTCTATGATAGAACATAAGATTTGTAAATTGTTTTATTTTTCTCGACACTTTCTAAAGCAGGTCATTACAGCCCTGCCCCCTATAATCCCCGAGAAAAAGGAAACAAATGAGGCAAATTCTTGAATCCCCCAAGCTTGTAATTAAAGGGGAAAACCAAACAGAGCCTGGTGGTCTCACTGAGTTGGCCAGAGATCAGAGTTCAGAAGAACTGAAGCACCTACAGTCTGTGTGGCATGCTCCTGAGGATGACGAGGGATGCAGAGAGAGAGCTCCAGAAATAGGTATTGGAGTCTCCTTAAACCTGTGATTGAATACCAGTGAGCACCTGCACAGAGTCAAACCCCATCGGGCCAGGCAAAGAACCATTCCCTGGAGCTGTTAGCTTAACCATTCCTAAGGATGACACAGAACTGGGACGTGTTTGAGTTCAGTGCTTATGAGATACGTGAGGCTTTCAGCAGGGCAAGCCTTGGCAACCCTTAGTAGTGGGCTTAACTAACCCTAGAATTAAGGCGATTTAGATTTGCCCTCAGACAGCTTTTAAAATGGTCTTTAAATTAAAGGATCAAACTTATTTTTAAGTAACTTAACTGCCTTAGAGAGAGAGAAAAGGTCAATACTCAACAGATCTCAACAACATAAAAATCAGTGTTGATCATCCAATCAAAAAGTACTAAACATGTAAAGAAGCAGAAAAATGTTAAAACTACTATTACAAATATGCTCACCCTTTAATATAAATATTAAACGTATGTTAACAGAGGCCCTGGCCAAGGTTTCAGGCTCACTCCCCAGTCAGGGTACATAGAAGAACCAACCAGTGAATGCATAAATAAGTGGAACAACAAACGATGTTTCTCCTCATCTCTCTGCCTCTGTCTCAAATCAATCAATAAAAGAATTATTTTACAATTTATTAACTATATAATTAGCTATAAATATTATTCTGATTACAAGATTCCATTTGTAATGACAATGGAAAGTGACAGACATTATTTAAATTTTTGCCATCTGAAATTAATGTGTAATACATTAATTAAAGGTTATTCAGAGATGAGAATCAAGAATTCTACTGAAATAGATCAAAATGTTGACTGAAAATTTTTTTTTTAACTTTGTTGTTGACACTATTACAGATGTCCCCATCCCCATCCCCCCTTTGCCCACTTCCTCCCAGACCCCCCCTTCAGCCTGGCCATCACTACACTATAGTCTGTGCATATAAGTTCTTTGGCTAATCCCTTCACTTTCTTTCATCCAGTCTTCCCTCCCCACCTCCTCTGAGGGCTGTCTGTCTGTTTACTTTGCTCATTAAATTCCACACAAACGTTAAATCATGTGGTTTTTGTCGCGAAAGAAATGTTCATATTAAAATTTCTTTGTAGACAGTCATGAAAAATTAACTTCAGAAAACATTTAATTTTTGTGTTCTAGTTTAAATGAACTTTTAAGTAAAAGTTATACTTTACTAAGTTCATTATAATGCTCTCAGCAATATCTAACACATATTCACTTAATTCATCAGCAGATTCTTAGGGGAAATACATAAAATATGTAACTGATAAAGCCAAGGGATGAATGAAAAATCTTGCAGGAGGAGGAGGGGGAGAGGGAGGGTAATGGGACATTCTGGGTTAAGGACAAGCCTGAGGTTTAAGATTCCCAAGGAATCGCTCTACGATCTTGAATTAGCGATCAGATTTCCTACAGTGGCCTGGATAATGTGATCCTGTTAAGTGTATTCTAACACTCATATTTCACCATGTTTTTTCATTTATTATTATTATTTGTTTGTTTTTTATTATATATATATTTTTTTAATTATTTTTTTTTAGAGAGAGAGAAAGGGAGAGGGATAGAGAGTTAGAAACATCCATCAGCTGCCTCCTGCACACCCCCTACTGGGGATGTGCCCACAACCAAGGTTGTGGTTGACCAGAATCAACTCGGGACCTTTCAGTCCGCAGACCAATGCTCAGGGCCATTTCACCAGGTTTTCACAACTTTTCCTATTTTACAATTTCCTTTTAATTTAAGGCTCTCTGGTGTTTGGCTTATTTGCATATGTTTGTGCTACTGAACATCTAGTCTTCGTTTGGGGTAAACCAGGCAGGAAACGCGAGTTTGTTTTGAGCAAACCCAAAATGTGTGACAGGTGAGACCGAGGGGGCCCAGGTGAGAGGCGACAAGTGCCTCCAGATAAGGTGACCAGACGTCCCGCTTTTGGGCGGGACAGTCCCGATTTCTAACAATTTGTCCCGCGGCGTTTTAAAAAAGTCCCGATTTTTTTTAAAAAAGATTCTTTAAAACGCCGCGGCACGCGGGACAAATTGTTTTTAAAAAAATTGGACGTCTGGTCACCTTTCTCCGGCAGAAACTCCTCGGGGTTTGCCAGGACCCGCCGGGCAGGCAGCGCCCACTCATCCCTCCCCACACACCCTGCGCCGCGGGGCTGCATCCCCCGGGAGCCCCTCCGCCGCCGGAAGAAGGGCCCAGCGGGCCGGGGCCGCGGCCGCGACCCGGAAGTGCTTTCCCACCGCGGCACACCCCGGGCCGCGTCCCGTCCCGGCTCCTGAGCGCCGCCTTCGCCTCGGACGCACCTGTGCTCCCGCGGGGGCTCCTCTGCCGTCGGGGGCCGGGGACCGGGGACCTCGGCCGGGCGAGCGGCCGGAGCCCCACAGCCCTCGGGCCCTGAGTCCGGCGCCGGCCGCGGCCCGACCCTGACCGAGGAGGCGCCGGGGGAGGAGCCCGGGCCCGCGCCCTCGGGTCCCGCCTCCGTTTTACCTCACCTGGGCGGGCACCCGGGAGCCCCGCGGAGAGAGCTGCGCCCGCCCGGCCCGCGGCCGCGCCGGACCCCGGAGCCCGGATGCTGCCTCCCCCCGAGCGCGTCCCCCCCGCGGCCGCCCGGGCGGAGGCCTGGCGCGGGCTCCCCGCCTCCCGCGCTCCTGCCACCGCCGCCTCCCCCGGCGTCACCCCTGCTGGGGCCCCTTCGTGGGCACACACAGCGCCACCGGGTCAAGCCAGATGTCATCCACCATCACGGCCACAGCGCCTTCCCCTCGCTTCATTTTATTTTATTTTTTAATTACTTTGTTGATTAAGGTGTCACATATTTATCTCCCCATTCCCATCCCAAACCCCTCCCCACGCATGCCCTCAACCCCCTGTTGTTCATGCACACTGGTTAGGCTCACGTGCATGCACACCACCCCTCGCTTCATAAGGATCATGGACAACAGGGGGGAGGGGTCCCCCCCCTTTATTTTTTCCCTAAAATGTATTTTGATTTTTTAGAGAGATGGACAGAGTTAGAAACATCAACCAGCTGCCTCCTGCACACTCCCCACCCGGGACGTGCCCCCAACGAAGATACATGCCCTTGACCGGAATCAAACCTGGGACCTTTCAGTCCTCAGAGGATGCTCTATCCACTGAGTCAATGAGCAGCATCCCCGACCTGCTCCTCTCTCCCCCTACTCCCCATCCCAAGCCGTCTTTAGATGAAAACCGCCATCTTCCCAGAATCTTCACCTTGGAGAACTGAGCTTCCCTCTCTGTGGTTCTTATAATAACGAAAATAAAGTTCTGCCAAATAAACTCAACAACTGCTCTCGCTCCCTCCCTTCTGTGTTTTCCCACAACTCCTGCATAAAAAAAGCCGTCAGGCTGGTTTTACAGGCCACACAAAACTCTACTGCTGGGAATCCTATGGGACAGTAAGACTGAAGATGGCTTTTGAGCTTTAAGGGAGCCACTTTCAAGAATAAGTAAGCCTGGCCATTGTCCTAATATTTGAAACTAGTAAAGCACTTTCACCCCACTCCCCGCTTTTTTCCTTTTTAAAAAAATATGTTACACTTCAGGAATTTGTGCATCATCCTTGCATAGGCACCAGGCCAGTCTAGTGTTAATGCTAGTGTATGTGCTGCCCAAGTAGGCAGGCACGCCCTTCTCTGAGAACCACGTTCAGCGCTATTTTATTACCGTTTGCAAAGACATTGCAATGCAATGCTAAAATTTACGCCATTCGACCAGAATACCATATAATGTAAACCTGGTATGCTTAGTGGTAATTGCTTTTATAATTTGAAAAGAAAGGCCCTGGCCGATTTGGCTCAGTGGTTAGATCCTGGGCCTGCGGACTGAAGGGTCTCGGATTGGGGGGCACATGCTCAGATCTAGGGCTGATCCCCAGTAGAGGATGTGCAGGTAGCAGCCGATCAACGATCCTCTCTTCATTGATGTTTTTCTCTCTCTCCCTCTTCTTTCCTCTCTGAAATCAATAAAAACATCTTTAAAAAAATATTAAGGGAAACAGGGAAACAAGTTGACTGTTTCTTCAATACTTAAAAGGAGCTTAAAGACCCTTGAGATTGAATCTCTCCCGGGAGGAGCCCAGGGAGCCGCTCACTGCTGCATCCCCAGCCCACAGCGCAGAGGAGCCCTCAGTACAAGCACGGGAGTGTGGGCGAAGAGCAGGACCCTGCCAGCTCTGCTCCAAGAGGGCGATGGGTGCTGGCAAGCTGGTACTCACTCGTTCTTCAAGTTCAGGAAACAGAGTAAAGTGGCTGGATGCTTCCTGTCTGTCCGCCCTCTAATTCCTTTGGTTCTGCTCCTTGGTGAGTATAATTTATCTAGAGATAGAACTCAGATCATGGTAAAGTTAAAACTACGTAGCAAAGAGAGGAGCTATCCTTATCACGCACGGTGGTAGGGATTACCTAAAAAAAAGAAGAAATGACTCACCACACCCTTAATAGGAGTGTACGGTCTTCAAAGAGCTTCCCCAAAGAATTTCATCCATGCCCCCAAATTCGTATTTAAGCCTCACTCCCCGGGTAATGGTATTTGGAGGTGGAGCCTTTGGGAAACAATTAGGCCATGAGGTTGGAGCCTTCGTGGATGGGATTGCGGTAATACCCTTCTAAGAAGAGAAAGAGACCAGAGCTTGCTCTTCGCACCAGGTGAGGGTATTATAAGCAAGCTGTCTGCAACCCAGAAGAGGATCCTCACCAGAACCGAACCACGTCCCTGTGATCAGAGACCTCCAGCCTCTGGCAGTTGTGAGACATAAATGTTGCTTATTGAAGCCGCCCAGTTGATGATGTGCTATAACAAACCAAATCAAGATGCTTTAATTCATCACACCCCATCGCAGCATTTACCAGCATCAGGCACCAGAGGCATTCCATCTGCCCCACCTTTGTTCGCAGCTGTTCCCTACCATTGCTCAGGGCAGCATCCTGTACTTCAGCTGCAGCCAAACCTCCTTACAATCTTCCATAGCCAAGGCAAAAAAATGCTTTCTTTGATACTAAGAAAATAAAAAAACCTTGGTGCTATCAAAGCTAAGCTAACCTATCACACATTGGAATTAGATTTGCTGTAATGCATGTTGACAACGGTCTTAACATTTTGGGGTGGATAGGGGTGGAGATATAAAAATATTTTACAAAGATTCGCTACAACAACATCTTTCAATAAACCAAAATCTTGCTAGTATAGCAGGTAAGCCTTTCTAAGCTACAGGGTATAAAGTTATTGTGAAGAGGTAAAATAATACTGTGTTTACTACATACATTTAAATTATTTTTTCTCTAGGACATAAGGAAATGATCCAGAAATGTTTTGAAAAATACTTATAACTAAATTGGACTTCCCAAGGCAAAAAAAAAAAAAAAAAAAAAAATGCTTTCTTTGGGAAAGGCATGAGAATACATTTATTAACTATTTCCATAAGACTAAGAATGAGAAATAAATTATTAAGCACTTAAGTACAAGAAAATAGTTGACCCAATATGAATGTACTGAATAAATCAAAAATAGCATTTTAGAAAGATATGCATGAAAGAAAAGTTAGCAGCAGCATTTATATAATGGCTCTGAGCAATTCAATGTTGAATCAATTTATTTTAAAAAATCCTATCTAATTAATACACAGAATTCTTATTAGAAACTTTCTGTTTGTTGGAAAAATTAAGTTTTTGTTCAGAAAAGCATGTATCTTGCTAGGTGATACTGACCTTGCTCAGTGATTACCAGCAGTTTTTGATAACACTTCAAGATAGGGATAGTTTCTTCAGAATTTGCAGAAGATGTTGTAAGTCATATTCTCACTGATTTTCTGTGCTCAGCTTGTTCAGAGTGCAGCCTTGGGTTCACTCTGAAATGGAAACCAAGAGAGTGAGCGCAAAGAGAAATTTTGCCCCTCCCTTCTGCGTTCTTCATCGGGAGAGATGACGTTCAAGGCCATCCTTGACCAAGTACGTATATGTCAGCTTCACAAGTCAAGGCCAGTTTCATTGTTGTGACAGATTAAAACTAAAGTTCAATGTTCCATCCGTTAGGCAAAATGTATTGCAAGAGAACTACTCATTCAGCCACAGGGCTCTTTGCTCTCACTTGAAGCAAAACAACTCTCCCACTGCTCCTTGAAAAAAAAGACAATTCTGACAATAATGACATTTACTCTCTCGCTTAGTAATGGAAAGCTCCCGTTTCTCAAACGGCAGGGCTGAAAAAGGACCTTTTCTTCTGGACGTAATGGCTGGCCAGTCACTCGTGGTACACAAGGACAACTGAAGGGGTGACCTTGAATGAAAGACTCTTAACAAACTACTTAAATAATGTAGGTATTTACAAACACAAATGCAATAAGATTTTACAGATTTTTCAATAGCTTATTTGATTTTCATATTTTCACTCAGTGTTTAATGGTGAAAATACAGCTTTAGACATACTAGCAAAGGCACTGCCATTTTCCTTTGCTAAATGTTAGCGATTATGCAGTTATGACTGCAATCAGGTATCGTTATTTTCCCACCTTTTTCAGATGTGGATTATGTAAAGATCTTTCATTAAAAGAATATACTGTTGCTTTGGAGGCTCAATCATCTTAATGAAAATGCAAATGTTAGTCGATCCAGACACTTTTAAAATACGTTGGTTCCTGCCTCCCCTTGTGTGTTACTACCCTGTTTCCCCGAAAATAAGACAGTGTCTTATATTAATTTTTTCTCCCAAAGTTGCGCTAGGTCTTATTTTCAGGGGATGTCTTATCTTTCCATGCACTAGGTCTTATTTTCGGGGAAACACGGGTACATTATCTCACCTGCACGCTTCACTCCCAGAAACTAAAGGTTTTCACTTGCAGGCTTCACCTGCTGACTGCTTTCCCTTGGTTAGTCCACTGCGGAAACCACCAAAATGGTGCTGAAAGGTTTTATCCAAGAAGGACAGATGCCACCTGAGTTCTCAAGAAGAGTGGCTTTTGACCTCAGTAGAAGAGGGTTCCTCGATGTTTCTGCTTTGGGTAGCCCCCCTACATCTTTTACGGATCACCTGTAATTAAGAAGGCAAACTGAAAGTCTGGGGTATTTGCATGCATATAAATCCACTGGGTTGTTGCTGATTACGTATGTAGGTTGCCTGACCAACATACCCTGAGATATTTAGTTCTGAGATGGGGCCCAGGGATTCCCATTTCAAAATACTACCTGAATTGCTGTTGCATGGACCACCCCTTGAGAAACATTGCATGTAAGCAGTGCAGGCAACGATCTGCTGGATTTCTAAAGGAAAAACGAGAGCAGGTAGCTTTATTCTAGAAGAACTGCTGTGGAACTTACTCTTTATTCATGTTTGGTCTTACGCAAAAAGTGGTTCAAAGACCATGTTGAAAAAACACAAATGGAATTCTGTTTCTGGAAACTGGATACTTAGTTAGGGATTCTCCTTGCAATTGAGACGGAGAGGGAGGG